ACTAATTAATAAGTACATTGTAAATCAAAATAAATTACATAAAACATTGATCTGCACACAAGCATATAATATGCAAATTAACTGGTTTCAATTGGATCCAGTTGGGTAACTGGAAATATTTCCAATTGGAACCAATTGGGTAACTGGAAATGAATTCTAACTGGAACCAGTTGGGTAACTAGGCGTTGTGGCGTGCGCCTGTAATCCAGCTAAAAAGTGGAAGTTACAAACTGATTCAGCCGAGGACACAGGTTCGAAACTGAGTCACGTCTTTCGGATGGTGACATTTAAAGGTCGGTCCCAGACGTAAATAATCATATCTGATTGATACACGTCTGTAAAAACCCAATACACACACACACACACTAACTGGAACCAGTTGGGTAACTGGATATTATTTCTAACTGGAAATGAATGCTAACTGGAACCAGTTGGGTAACTGGAAATGAATTCTAACTGGAACCAGTTGGGTAACTGGAAATGACTTCTAACTGGAAATGAATGCTAACTGGAACCAGTTGGGTAACTGGAAATGATTTCTAACTGGAACCAGTTGGGTAACTGGAAATAAATTCTAACTGGAACCAGTTGGGTAACTGGAAATGACTTCTAACTGGAACCAGTTGGGTAACTGGAAATGACTTCTAACTGGAAATGAATGCTAACTGGAACCAGTTGGGTTACTGGAAATGAATTCTAACTGGAACCAGTTGGGTAACTGGAAATGACTTCTAACTGGAACCAGTTGGGTAACTGGAAATGATCTAACTGGAAATGAATGCTAACTGGAACCAGTTGGGTAACTGGAAATGACTTCTAACTGGAACCAATTGGGTAATTGGAAATGAATTCTAACTGGAACCAGTTGGGTAACTGGAAATGACTTCTAACTGGAACCAGTTGGGTAACTGGAAATGACTTCTAACTGGAAATGAATGCTAACTGGAACCAGTTGGGTTACTGGAAATGAATTCTAACTGGAACCAGTTGGGTAACTGGAAATGACTTCTAACTGGAACCAGTTGGGTAACTGGAAATGACTTCTAACTGGAAATGAATGCTAACTGGAACCAGTTGGGTAACTTCAAATGACTTCTAACTGGAACCAATTGGGTAATTGGAAATGAATTCTAACTGGAACCAGTTGGGTAACTGGAAATGACTTCTAACTGGAAATGAATGTTAACTGGAACCAGTTGGGTAACTGGAAATGAATTCTAATGGAACCAATTGAGTAACAGGAAAATCATCTTACTGTTTCCAGTTGAACTTCTAACTGGAACCAGTTGGGTAACCGTGACTGGAAATGAATTCTAATGGAACCAATTGAGTAACAGGAAAATCATCTTACTGTTTCCAGTTGAACTTCTAACTGGAACCAGTTGGGTAACTGGAAATGACTTCTAACTGGAACCAATTGAGTAACTGGAAAAATTACCTTACTGGTTCCAGTTGCACTTCTTATTGGTTTGAACTGGAAATGAGTACCCATAACAATATTTTCCAGTTCGACAATTGGTTTCAACTGGAAATTTTCTATTCCAATTGAAACCAATTGAAACCAATTGAAACCAGTTGAAACCAATTGAAACCAGTTGGAGATTTCAACTGGTTTCAATTGGATTTTGGTCCTGGGATATCATCAGTTAATACTCACTTCATCTCACCCAGTCTAGTCGTTATTTCATTTACAATACTAGATCTACATCTAACCAGTAGATCTACAAGGCAATCTCTTTTCTTGCTGTTTTTCACATTTCACTTTTTGCTGATTTCCGTTACGCCACGGCACTTGTTTCACACCAAAATAGTCTCCTTCTTTATACAAAGTTGAGATTTTTTTTCAATCGACAATACATGTACATCTACACACAGAAACTCTTACAATGCATGAGGTCTTACTATAAACACAGACTCATTCATTTACCAGTAGTACCGAGTACGATGCATAACATGGCACGATGCCAGTGAGAGAATTCCGACTCCGAGGCTCTCATTCACTGCGTCATGACATTAGGCTGCGATTGCGATGCTCGTTTTATTTCCCGGATTTATTCTTGGATTGCATTTCACAATCACCACAACCACAAATTGTAATGTTATCGAACCGTACACACACGTTACATTTCTCACAAAATCACAGAGAAGAAAGATGAACTTACATGCATGTATCTGAATCTGAGCCTCATGCTCACTTCGCTTCGGCATCCAAGCTGCGCTAGCTGAGGACTCCTTTTCCTAATTGGAAGCATGATATAACCATGAACCTTCTATTAGGTTCATGATATAACACCGATTCCTATTTTGGACCTTGAAGAATTCAATAAATGTATGGTAGTGTTGAAGGGCAATCCCGCCTGATTATGTTCTCCACTTTGATTTCTCTTTTTTCCATTTACTGGAACTTTTACAGCCTTCAACACTTTTCTGTTACACTCTTCATTTCTACAGCATCTATTGCAATCAGAATGACCCCCTTTACACTTTTCTGATTAGACATGTTTGTTTAATTAATTGCCTCTTCTATAAATACACTCCAGTTAATTGTCAATACATTGTCTATTACATCACGCACTCTCTTTTGTAATAGCTAGGCGGCATATAACAACATGCAATTTAATTACTGCAGTGGCTGATCTAGGGGCAGCAGCAGGGTCCCCTCCCCTGGCCAAAAGACAGGTAAATTTAACCTTTGTTGAAGAAAAAGAAAGAAGACGGGCCCCTCCCCCTGGCTCAAGGAGGGTGGGGTGGGTGTTGAGTACAAATAAAAAGAGTAGTGCTCACAACTCTATTCCCCCCTTCCCCCTTCTTTGAGCAACAACAAAAATAGTGCTCTATTATACCCCCGCAAACGCCCCCGCCACCGCCCCACCCCCCCCCCCCCCGCTTATTCGCCGGCTGGCTGGATCCTGGCCCCTGATTTACTGTGATGTTGTAGAGGAAAGAAGAACAATCTGAAAAGTAGGCTAATGAAAGCAGGGTCGGCCGAGTGACTTCCAAAGTGCCAGAGGGGACCAAGAAAAAGAGGCGCTTGCCGGAAAAAGGGCACCTACAAAGGGAAATCTCAAAGTGAAAATATACAATTTATTAGATATTGGTACATACCGTTATAGGCCTCATGGTTGTATTATCAGGGATGATCTCAATATTCGTTTCTCTTTATACACCCTACAAGATATTACTTAAATATCATACGTTGCGCTTGGATGTAATGGTGTGAAAATTAATTTGCGGCAAGCGAAGCGAGCGAGAAATTTTTGAAGGAGGAAAAAACCCAATCCTGATGGGGTTATAACCACATCTCATAACGGAAGACTACAAAGACCTTTGATAAGTAACATAATTATATTATCTAAAAATGCGAGCGAGTTTTGGGGGAAATTACTCTTAGTTCTTTGAAATTAGGAGCGCGTTTAATGATGAGAGGAAAAGGGGAAACTTCAGAAAAGAAAAGGAGCACGTGTCAAAGTAAAAAGGGTAATTATCAGAGGTGAAAATGGGGCACTTCTTACACCTACAAAAGGAGGCAGGCAGGGATAAAAAAAAAAAATGAGAATAGGAAATGGTCATTTGTCGACGGAAAAGGGGCACCCATCAGATTTTGATAGGGGCATTTATAAGAGGTGAAAAGGGGCATTTATGAAATGGAATAGGTCCCCGATAAGTCCCCTACTAGAAAGGAAAAGAGGCACGTTTCATTGTTGAGGGAAATTATTAGAAGTGAAAAGGGGCACTAACCAGATATGAAGAGGGGACTTATGAGAATGAAAAATGGGCACTTATAATAAAGGAAAATGTGCAATAGTTGAAAGAAAAGGGGCACCGATCAGATTCTAATAGGGGCATTTTAGTTTATCGGAGGTGGAGGGGCACTTATCTGAAGTGAAAAGGAGTAACTTCTCGTACCTGAAAAGAGCCAATTACCAAAGATGGGAAGGGGCTCTTTTTAAAGGGGGCACCATTAGGAAAAGGGGCATTAAGTAGAATGGAAAAGGGGCACTTTGTGAAAATATAAGGTGCGATCATCCGAGTTTAAAATGGGGTAGTTATTAAAAGGGGAAGGGGCACTTCTCAGATTTGAATAGGGCAATTATCAGGAGAAAAGAGGGCATCTATCAAAAGTGGAAGAGGGCACTTTTCGTATCTGAAATGGGGCCCTTACTAGAGATTAAAAAGGGCGCTAATGATAATGGAAAATGGACACTTATTGCAAAGGAAAATGGGAACTTGCCGAAGAGAAAGGGGCTCTTGTCAAAACAATAGGAGCACTTATCAGAGGTGAAAAGGGGAAGGGGTACTTTCACAAATTAATGGGGACACTTGTCACTGTAAAGGGGCACTTATCCTATGTAGAAAGAGGCACTTTTCGGGTACTTGAAATAGTAGGGGCACAGGGCCGCCTCTGGTGAAAGTAGTGAATGAAATCAGACAAAAATGAGCCTGTTTTGGAATTAGTGAAAGTTGTATTCTCTATAAGAATGGACTCTTCAATTTGGCTGAATAGGCTGTTGTACTGGTGGACAACTTTCTCATTAGGTTACAACACACAAAACTGATTACAAATTAGATTAGAAAGAATATAAATGATATATGACTCGAGATGTATCAAGATGTATTTTCTCTTAAGAGGACCAATAATAATGTTATCCATAATATGTTTTTAGCAAGGGAGAAGGCACTACGTACATGAGGAGAAAAACAAAGATGTAGGCCTATATGATATTTTTGTACACGTCGAACGGCAACGGCTAGAGAGTGATCCGCGCCTACGTCACATTCAACCGACCAGACTGCCAATTTGCGATTCGCATACACATAATGATCTCATAATTTCATAACATCCTAATTACCGGTCCGACTAGTTTCAAACTTTCGCCATTCCGTTTATCTTATTTTCCTGCTTTCATACAAATGGACTTATTACAAGGGTTCGGTTTCCCTTCAATAACAGCCATCTTGATATTTCTACACGCTCATCGACATTGAGCTTCAAGGCTAGGCAGGGTGCTGTGTACCTGGTACATGTAGTACACATAAAACTCCATCGTAGTCGGTGCACGGACAATTATTTGTGTTACGCTGATTGAATGCGATGCATACTACAATTTTGCGCGTCATATACATAGTATAGGATCGAGAGTCGAGAGTGTCGAATATCATGATAGCTAGATCATCAGGAATATTACACACAATTGGAGCTTCATTGTCTACGTCGCGCAGAGTCGTTTACCAATTAACAAACTCACATTTTACAACAACCATGTCGTCTGGTCAGAAAGAAGAGAAAATGGCGCCAGTGCCAACGAATGAGAAGGGTGAATTTAAGGGCGCTACCACTGCTTTTCGCGACTGGATCACTGCTGATGGAAAATTCCAGCCGGAGAAGGACCGCTATCATCTGTACGTCTCACTGGCTTGCCCCTGGGCTTCCCGTACTCTTATCGCTCGTAAACTGAAGGGCTTGGAGGATGCTGTTGGGATTACGGTCGTCGATTGGCTGATGGCAGACAAGGGATGGTTCTTCTCGGATGATAAACCGAAGACAACGCTCGATTCTGTCAACAACTGCAAAAACATGAGGGAGATTTATGAGCTTGCGAGCCCGGGTTACACGGGTCGTGTATCAGTGCCCGTCCTGTGGGACAAAAAGATCAAAACCATCGTCAATAATGAATCTGCCGAGATCATGCGGATGCTCAACAGGGAATTCAACGCCTTCTCAGCCACCAAGGACCAACAAGAATTAGATCTCTGCCCTGCGGATCTGCTGAAAGAAATCGACGAAGTCAACTCCTGGATCTTTGACAACATCAACATAGGTGTGTACAAATGTGGCTTTGCAACAACCCAGGAAGCCTACGACGATGCCGCTCCTAAACTCTTTGCTGCCCTTGATAGAGCCGAGGAGGTGCTATCCAAATCCCGTTACCTGTGTGGAAATAGACTGACAGAAGCCGACATCCGACTCTTCACTACCCTCATAAGGTTCGATACTGTCTACGCCCATCATTTCAAGTGCAACAAGAAGCGGATCGTTGACTACCCGAATCTCTGGGGCTTTACACGTGATATCTTCCAGACTCCAGGAGTAAGTGAGACTGTCGATCAAGAGCACATCCAGAAACATTACCAGTTGAGCCATGTACACATCAACCCGCACCGCATTGTGGCCATTGGACCTGACCTGGACTTCGATAGCCCACATGGAAGGGACGTCAAATTCCAGAAGTAGATCTACTAATTTACCTTCGGACTAGCTGCTCTACCTCAGCATAATCATTTCAGACGTTAAATTGTGGACTTGTCATGAATATTTTATTTTGGATTGCGTTTAGAAAATGTAGGTCATGAATGCATGAAGGTATAGATTTTTTTTTAGAATAGTCATTGAAAAGATATTTAAATTTGAATGACTTTTAAGTGGTAATGACTAATGACTGTATAATTGAAGACATGACTTCAAAATAGTACCAGTGGCTTATTTACTGGCAGAGTTAATTGCTTGTAATCTTTCCTTTTCTTGTTTATATAAAATTGCGTTTTCCAATTAGATTTTTCTTGAAAATGTATAGGCATTAATATAAGCTTCTATTACAATAAAAGTACCAACAACAAAAGATTTTAAAAAAATACATTTTCTCATAAATGATCAAGGAAATTAGTAAACACAATATTGTAAACAGCCAGTCTTGAGTGTTTGTGCTTTAATATTATTACATATTTTCAAAAAGTGTTTTGCTTAAAAAGTAATTTTAAATATATGTTAATGAATACAAATCTGAAAAGAATGTGAAACCTATGGCCTAGAAAGAGTGACCAAGTTCGTATTGGCAGCTGTTCTGGTCGTCTATGTTTTGTCCAAAGATATACCTCTTGAAAGTTGCTAGGTGATATATTGCGTATGTTTTTCGTGTTAATATTCCATTTTATCTTCAAATTTCATGGGGAAGATATAACAATTCAGAGTTTAAAGAGGAAAGAAAAGTCAGGTCGATTGTATTCTTTTGGGAAGTATCGGGCTTGATTAATGATGATTCGTTATAAAGATATTTGTTTCAGTAAATCTTTTCATTGCCAGTGATTTATATTTAATTTGATGAATGTCTTTATATAGTTAACCATACACGACACCAAACAACCCTGCATAATATATTTCTTTGAATACATTTTACATAATAATTCATAGTGGTATTTGTTAGTCTGTTCACACAGCATATCAAACCTTCACAATTGTCTTTGTAATAAACTTAACTTTAGTGTAATTGAAATGTGTTTATATCCATGTATGATTATTTAATTATACCATAGCATGTAGCATGCCATAGTAGCGCATTTTCATTTATTCCTTAGTTGCATGGGTTATTTTGGTGTACGATTGTATTATGCAAGCACTAAATTTGATTTTCTCTTTAACTGTCGCATTTTCCACGTACAATGTATATATACATTATGCGTTTGAACTGCTTCTCACAATGTAGGCCGACAAACTACTGTCGCCTCTCTTCAGGTCTGCAGACAAAAGATTTATGAAATCGGAACCTTTTTATATCTTCATGCTTGAATTATGTTGACCTCAGTTGGATGTGCATACATGCAGTGTAAACATGGTGAAATATCTGTGATTCTTGATAATTGATATTTACACAATGATTGCAATGAATGTCAATGATCAGTAATACATTATCTTTTTAAAATCTGTATTCATTTTGTTCTCTATATTCAAAAGAAATGCAATCAGATGCGTTGGAAGTTATTCACAGTCTAAGCTTTGTCGATGTATTTGTTGATGTAATCGAATGATGTATTAGAGGAATAGTAGCCCAAATATTATTGGAATAAATATTTGTTATTGAATCTTATTCAGAATATATTGTAGCATGGTGAAATACACTGGGATTAAAGATGAGTGTGAACATGCTGAGTAGTGCTTGAACTTGAAAGTAGCCGAGTTAAAAGAATTATGAGTCCTAGGGGATATTTGATTGATAAATAAATGGCTTTGGGATAGACTATGTAGCTATATGTAGGTGAAGGGACAAGGGAAAAAGGGTAGAGCAATAGGTCGAGTGGGGTTAAGAACGATAAAAATAGCTTGGACAACAGATTTGTTTTTGATAGAATTTAGTTAGGTGTTTGTGAAAATGGTGAATGATAACAGAGTCGTTGTGTTAGTAGTTAATTGATACTCTAGAGCCTGAGCTGTCACTGGTATCTCGAGAATATCCCAACGAGTGAATCCAGCATACCCACGCTAAAAAGTATAAGGACTTCCCCTTCATTTGACCAATCAGGAATAAAAACAGGTAAAAAGTTTGTAAGAGTTTTGGAATAGAAAGTTTGGACCAATGAAATAAGTTTTAGCCCTGTCCATTAAGAAGTCGACAGTGGTGGGAGATCAGGTGACCAAAAAGTATTATGGGATGGAAAAACAAAGGAAATTAATAAGGAATTTGTTGGACTCGAGGTGCGAGCTAGATGGCTGAACGGTGTGTTAATTGAGTATAAAAAGACCCAATCCTCCCTTCCCTTCACACTTGCATCCCTGGACCCCAAGCATTTACCACCCCTCTCCTTTCACCCTAAGTTTAATTCAGCCACCACAGACATCTGGAGATCCCCGACTTGTACTAATTAAAGCTTCGTCCACGGAATATTTTGAAAGTTGCTGAACTTCATCTTCTTGTCGCTGTTTGCTGACGGTGATAGAAAGAGACTGAAACGACAAATAGTAATACTGCACCTCGCCCTTCTCCAGTAAAAAGAACACTTCCAACCCAGAATAATAGAAAGAGACAAAGGAGAACGCTGATTTTGTGCTCGTATTTGAGAAAGTCAACGATTTCGACGTCACAAGGACCGGAGACGAGCACACACCTTTAAGACCCTCCGACGCCCCCAGGACATCGAGAGGAAATTTCAAGTCTGCTACGCCCCGACACGAGTGCGACGAGTCGAGAGACCGGAACAAGAAAGAGCTAAGTCAACCCGTCCCCCCCCCCCCCCCCAATTAAAAAGGCCTATAAACTCTTAAAGACAAGTTATCGATCGATCAAAGACTCTAAAAGTCCCAGTAATTTAAATGATCCTTTTCCTTTCCCCTTCCCCCTCCCACTAATATTTTAAGTGAGTGATTGTTGATGTGGATGCGTAAACGAGCTCAATTAATCAAGTAATTAGGTAAGGGATAAACACTGAAGAAACACGACACAAGAAATAATTGTAACCTTTTCTCGAATAAACGACCAAGTGAAATTGTAATTGATGTTCATTTGGTGTCCATAATAGGCCCAGGCGCGGATCCAGGATTTCTTAGGGGAGGGGCCCAACTTTTTTTTTTTTGCTCCCGAAAATTTTAAAATCGCGCCGGCCGAAAAGTCGCTCAGTGGGGGGGGGGGGGGGGGGGGGGGGGGGGGGGGGGGGAGGGAGGGGGGGGGGTAGTGAGCACATTTTTTATTTCTTTGATCCTCAAAAAAAATTCAATTTGCACCCCCCCCCCCCTTGAGCGCCAGGGGGGGGGGGGGCCCAACCCCCCAAAATCGTAAAAATCACGTGATTTTAAATGATTTTTTTTCTCAAGGGGGGGGGGGGGCGGGCCCCCCGGCCCCCCCCCCCCCCCTGGATCCGCCACTGAATAGGCCTACGTTACCGAGTATAAATTCATTGAATTACTCGATAATTCGTTTGATTCAAACTGTATGGGCGCTGTCAACTCAAGGTTTACGTATACGTTCGCCACATCAGGGGATGTGGCCGCTAACGTGTAGGACGATACAGTTTGGACTAGTTGCCCATCGATAGTCTTACATAGAATTATTAATGAAGATAAACCGTTTGTCGAGACGAGCTATCCCAGAAGAGCTGTTCTGGCTCCCAGCAAAAGATATTATCAAGGCATGTAAGAGGACCATTTTAAGATGGTCGTCAGTTTTCTTGTGCAGAAGGTCCTCAAGATAATTCCCCCCCCCCCCCCCCCCTTTGTCGGTCTGGTGTCCATCTCGTTGATGTAACCTGGTGAGTGAGATAAGAGGGGATCAATAGAGCATAACGACCGAGCAGGGGTGTGAATTCGGGATAATGATCAGGCACTTCCTGGAGTAATATGACGTAAAATTGCTTTCTCCTATTCCCTCTAAGAGTAGGGATCTTTTGCAATTTGAGACCCACATTTGGCGCATTAATGTCCACCGCACTTCGTTGCTGCACAAATACGGTGATCTGGTACTTATAACCAGTAGCCCTTGCAAAAAAGCTTTAACGTTTCATTAAAATTATTAGAGAAAGAAGACGATTCGTTGTACCGTTCTCGACTCTTAATACTCGTCTGAATTCAGTCCCCCTCCCCCCTCCGCGCGCGCGAAGCGCGAAGCTAATTGATTAAATCATTAGCGAAAAAAGACGATTCGTTGTACCGTTCTCGACTCTTAATCATCGTCTGAATTCAGTTTCCCGCTCTCGCGCGAAGCGCGGAAGCTTTTACGTTTCATTATATTATTAGAGAAAGAAGACGATTCGTATTACCATTCTCGACTCTTAATCCGTGTCTCACTTCAGCTCCCCCCCCCCCTGCGCGAAGGCTTTGACATTTCATTAAATTATTAGAGAAAGAAGACAATCGTTGTACCGTTTTCGACTCTTAATCCTTGTCTGAATTTCAAAAATGTTTTTTGTCTGCTCCTTTTTCTTCCTACGTCCTCTTCCTTTTCTGTCCTCTCTTTTTTTTGGCCGGCTTTGTTTGGGGGGCCGCCCCCACCGCCCCTTGGCTACGCGCCTGCGGTCAGATGAACATAATGTTGATACCTTCTTGTCCGCCCCCGGAAACTCAGGGGTTTAAGGCAATAAATTACGGTCAGATGAGTATCAAGGGGCCCGCCTTTATAGGGCCCTTGGTTGGGTCCCAGGAGCAGAGCCCCCGTAAGCTCAGGGGTTTTAGGCGTTTAATTACGGTCAGATGAGCATTTTTTGATACCTTATTTTGTTGTGACACTGGCAGTTACTATTCTTTCTTTCTTTTTCTCCTTAATATTCTTTTTCAAAAAATGAGGGGGGGGGGGACCGATCCCCGCCGTTCCGCGGGCCCTGACATGACTTGTAGGCATCTAAAGAGGCATATTTCTTGCCTGGCTGTAAATTTAGAAATTTGTCATTTTACAACAAACGCATAAAAAAGTATAATTTACTAAAAAATGAGAAAAATCTCGGAAAATTATGTAATTTCAGCATTATGTGTAAACCACCGTTATGGAATTAGAAATAAACCACGATTAAATTTGATTTCTCCCGATTGCAACTAATACCCCCTTCTTTTCTTTTCTTCCTCCCCAATTTCCTTCCCTTTATCTCCTCTTTTCCTTTTTTCTTTCCATTTCCTTCCTTCTCTCTTATTTTTTTATTTATTTATTTTTTTTTTTTTTTTTGGGGGGGGGGGGAAGCAACAGCCTATGAGGCGAGCCCCCCCCCCCCGATCTCCTTCTTCCCCCTTTTCTTTTCTTCTTCCTCTTCTTTCTTTCCCTTTCTCTCCTCTTTCGCTTCTTATTCTTCTCTCTCTCTCTCTCTCTCTCTCCATTTTTTCCTCTTTTTTTTCTTTCCTTTCTTTTCCTTTTTTTCTCCTTCTCTTTCCCTCTTATTTCCCCTTTCCCCTTTTCTCATTTCTCCTGACAGCAGCGCAATTTTACCGACAATATCCTGACAGGTGGGGGGGGGGGTCACACCCCCACCCCCCTTAAGCAACACCCCTGGTTGTTATCCCATTATTCTTTTAAAATAAATGCAATTCCTCATGCTATCGCACCTCTCTTCTAACGTTGTTTAATTCTCTTTATTTATTTTTTCACTTTTCCTTTAACTCAAAAAAATTCGTGCTTCCCCCCCCCCTTTTGTTTTTCTTGTGGCAAGAGGGACACCATAATTATGCTCACTGCAAAATTGCGTGCCCCCCCCCATCCCCCGCCCCTTTCCGAGTAAAAAAAACCAAACACCTTCTTTATTTTCCTTCTCCCCCCCCCCCCTTCTCTCCTCCGCCTTTTTCTCCTCTCTCTTCCTCTTTCTTCCTTTTCCCCTCCTTTTTCTCTCCTCCGTCTTTTCTTCTTCTTGTTCTCTTCCCTTTTCTTTCTTTATCCCTTCCTTTTCTTTCCCACTCCCTTTTCACACTTTTTCTTTTTTACCGGGGGTTCCCCCCCCCCCCTGAATCCGCCACTGACAAGGCACTGATAAAATAAAAATGAAGGTCTCTCCTCAATTCTAAATTTGTATGTATCCCTCATTTGTATAATTTATACACATTGTACATTTAAAAAAAAAAACTGTTTGTACTTCCATTCCTAAATTCTCATCTATTGATTAAAAAAGATCCCGAGGATTTTGTCAAAGTCATGAAAACTTATCTTTTTTTTCTCAATGTTATCATTCCGGGATTCTGACAATCGTAAAAAGAAAAGCTTTACCAATAATGTAAAAAGTCTAGACTTAATGTCATTTTTATTGAAATCTATCTTAATAACCAATGTTGGACAACAAAATGCACACAAGAACACATAACAAGAGTATAACAGCATAATAAAAGTAAAACAAATAATAAACAACTTGGCATGGTAAAAAATGATATACGTGGTATTGTGTTTTTCCTCTGTTCGTATTATGCCTTGGTCACAAATACCCTTACGGGCTGTTACGAACGCCGTACGAACGACTTTCAGACCATTTCGTAAGATCTTCTTAAGAAGGCCGTACGAAACCAGCGTTCGTAGACCGTTCGTAGACCGTTCGTAAGATCACAAATTGGTCGATGGTCTGGTCCAAGATTTTTTTTAGCATCGTACGAAACCCTCTCTTCGTAAGGCGGCCGTAATGACGCCGTAAATACATCGTAAGAACCACGCAAGATCTTCGTACATTTCGTAGGGTCGAGGGACAATTCTAGAAGCTTCAAATTATTACGATGAACGTAAGAACGCCTCAAGTTGTTCATAGAGGGCTCTTATGGCGTTCGTAACAACTCCTTACGAGCGGAGATTCTTATGGTCTTCGTACGAACGACTCCTGGCGTTCGTAAGGCGTTCGTAAGGTGCTCGTAAGGTGTACGTACACAATTTATGCTAAGCGCGTGAAGTTCAAATCCTCACTATGTTCATAATCATAGAGCCCCGCCCCCCGGCCAACCAAAAAAAGTGGTGTGGGGGGGGGGGGGGGGAACCTGGTAAAACCTGAATTATATCACACATAACATTCCATTCAAAAGAAAAGGAAAGTTAACAGGAATTAAATTTCTTAAACATTCGGCATGCAACCTTTATTTATCAATGGAGGTTTTTATAATAGCGATACGGGCATATCGTCGAATTATTGTGAGAGGATGGGAAAGCATTTGTGTATTTTGGTATTGGGGTGAGAAGACATGAGCCCCTGAACGCTGGCGGACTGATTTTATTGTTATTTCTTATTCGATACCCTGCAGTGATTTACAAATGTTACTGAAAAGATATGATTTCCGGTATTTTTTCTCAATTTTTTTGTAAGTCATACCTTTTGATACGTTTGTTGGAAAACTAGAAATTCCCAAATTTACAGTCGGGCGAAAAATATGCTTATTTAAAGCCTTCATGTCAGGGCCTGCAGAACAGCTGGGCTCGGGGGCTCGAGCCCCCTCACTTTTTGAAAAGTATGTTACAGAGAAAAAGAAAGAAAGAGAGAAAAAATAAGTGACCTGCCAATGTCACAAATAAGGTATCAAAATATGCTGATCTGACCGTAATTAAATGCCTAATTAAAACTCAAGAGCTTACAGGGGCTCCGCCCTCGGACCCCACTAAGGGCCCTAAGGCGGTCCCCTGGATGCTTATCTGACCGTAGTTAAATATCTAAAAACCTCTGAGCTTCCGGGGGCTCAGCCCCTCGACCCCACGCGAATTTACGAGTAAGAGTGGTGGTGATGCAGATTTTTCTTCTGCTCCCCCTTCCAAACGTTTTTGCTCATTACGCCATTGCCCCTGGAAGGTGAGCCCCTGAAATGTTTGCCCCCCCCCCCCCACCCCCAATCCTAAACTGCTTCCAGTGCGCCTGTTCATAGTGTCGTCGAGGGTGCCCCCCTGTCGAAGAAATATGGGACCAAAGGGGAAATCCGTTAGAGGAAAGAGAGGAAAGGGAAACAAACGTAACGTAGATAAACGTAACAAACGTAAAGAGATGAGGAGGAAGGAGAAAGAGGAGGAGAGCAGCAACAATAATATCAAGCAATAATATCAAGCCATCGAAAGCGACCGGGAGGAGGCGATGGAAGATGAAGACGATGACGACGAGGAGGGAGAACCATCAAGACGGCAGTTTGATAGCGATGAAGATGAGGCAACGGGGAAACTAAGAAAGGAGAAGTATGACTTTGATGCCACCACAGAGCAAAAACTTGTTGACTTCCTCGGTGAACATGGCTGCTTTTATAATAAAGGAAGTAACAGATATGCTAACAGTAAACAATTATTTTCGGGAAACAATTATTTTCGGGAACTGGCAGGTAAAACAAAGAACCTTTTTTGGAAAGAAATGTTCATGGCTTACAGTACGCTCTTGTGATAACATTTCTTGCCAACCCTTATGGAATAATGATTACATTAAAATAGGTAATAGCTCAATATATAATATAAAATTGTGTCAAAAGGGAGTTCGCTTTGTCAATGATATTTTAGAGACAAATGGTGATTTTTTTTTCTCTCTGAAACATTTCCAAGAAAAGTATAATATTCAAATAAATTTTCTTTTTTATCGTGGATTATGCGATGTAATTAGACAAGGGTTTAACAATTGTACTATTTTTTAACATGGTGCCACAACCTCTTTTCTCAGATACATGTACAATGACATTTGTTATGAAATGTATTAAAGGATGTTTACATATCTATGCAACTTTTTTAAAGAGAAGAAAAGGACTATGTAAACGTGTATTTCGACCTGAATGATAAGAGTTGGGAAACATATTGTTCTATTGGATTTAATTTTACCATTGATGTGGGCTTACGATGGTTTCAGTTTGAAGTTTTGCAACGCATATTATATACGAACGATCTACTGTTTAAAATGAATTTAGTCCCAAGAAAAGAATGTACGTTTTGTAATGAACAGATTGAAACAGTTATACATCTGCTATGTGATTGTACTAAACCAATTGTATTAATGTTATAAATGTAAATTACCTTGAATATATATTTGTTAATTTGTTTCCAATGAAAATCAATAAAATCCCTGTGGAGGGAAAAATATGGAGAACAAAAAACAGTAAGTTCAAGAATCACTTGATAGAGTTGCAGTTGCAGTTGTAGTCTTCTTGGCAATACTGCCATCGTCAAATATCAAACTTTCAACACTCAAATTTTCGACCGTATACAGCAGGGCTTTTTTTGCAACCCGACCAAATATTTAAAAAAATCGTAAGATCTTCTTACGAATGACTTGTGAATGCCGTGAGTTATACGTACGACCACCTTGCGAGATCAAAACTCGTAAGATGGCCGTAAGTCTGACGTAAGAAGAACTCAAGGCGTTCTTACGAAAAACGTACGAACTCTAGGGCCATTGTATAACCGAAAATCACTACGTTTCTCAAGAAGGCCTTAAGTTCTTCTCGCGAATTAAACGGCGTTAGTACGAACTCCGTAAGAAGGACGTAAGAAACTATGTACCGTCTACGAATCTCTAAGAATTCTGAAATTCGTAAAAACAGGGAGATTCGTACGAACATTTGTGACCGTAGCATTACTTAAAGAACAAATTTAGTATTAGTATTTAAAAAAAAAAATGAAATCTTTATTCAGCCGTAGTGTTTACACAAATGTACGTACATACATGCATGATTCAGCAAAAATATATATACTTTTTTTTTTGCATGAGCCGATTGTAAATGGTGTACTTACTTTACCGTATCGACTATTGAGTAATTAGAAAATGCAAAGTCACCGATATTTGCTTTAGCGTGTGAGTTGACAAGAAAAGAACAATAATAAACTGCTGATGCTAACTGCTATAATTTCAAGCAAACTTATGTCCCTTCTAATCTATACATCGCATGTGTCACAGAAACAAACTTTTTTGTTGTTTTGATTTTCACCTTTTTTTTTTTTTCTTTTTTTTGTAAAATGAATTTATTGATAAATATATGCTTTTGAAAAAATCAAACAATCATACACAAGCGATTGAAATAACATCGTAGCATCTTAACATAGCTCAAATAAAACATGTTTCGTTTTCTTGAATAACAGTGTTTTCAAAAATGTATAGATTTTTTTTGTTTTACAGTTCCTTTCGATCTTTAATCGGTTGTGGATTAATCTTTTGAAAATACAAAGAATAGAGACTTCATGAAACATGAGTTTGCGATTTTCTGCTTGCATATATGTTAAATAAACTGCGTATTTTGCATATATGATAAGAAAATTTAAACCTTTAAATATTTTGTTTTTCAAGTTATAACCTTCAATTGAAACGAACTTGTCAAAAGAAAAATTTACCCATTGCTTACGGGAACCTGGTGGTCCCTGCGTTAAGCCTATCGGAATAAGATAATTCAGTAGTCAACGGGTTAACATTGTAAAATTTTCGAATTATGTCTCCAAATTTTAACCAAAACAATCTTGTGTGTTTGCATTTTACAAATAAATGGAGATTGTCGTGTAACTGAACATCATATAAACATAAGGGATTGTTACACAATTTCCATTTGAATAAATTATACCTATTTGGTAATAAGTTGTGTAATAACTTAAAATTGAATTCTGATATTTTGTTTTCTTTCATAGCTTGTAAATTAAATGACCATATGACTTTCCAGTCGATTTGTTCTGTACTATTTAACAATTCTTCCCATTTCTCTTCGATTGGAGGTCTAACAATGGAATGAATAGACAACGTAGAGTAAAAAAAACTTACACTTTCGTTTAGTGTTAACATTCATTAAAACATTTTTCATGATACCTTTATCTTCTTCTTGTGTCGCATCATATATATGTACCTGTCTCAACATATTCTGTTTCCAAACTTTGGGAATCGCATTTAATATGATGTAATATTCTTGAAACAAAGAAGCATGTTTTTTCTCAAAACTTTCATCAATTTCTCTCAAAGACATAAATCTAGAGTTTTTTACGACATCATTAATTTTCAAAAGGCCTACATCGAACCATTTTTTAATAAATAATACATTTTTGTTATGATCTCTTATATTTGAGTTGAATCATATGTTTTCACTTCTAACATTAGTACATTGAAAATCAATTGGCGTCTTACTTTCTACTATCTCTTTAAAGTCAAACCAAGTATATACCATATTCTTGTAATATTGGGGCATTTTTATATTCTTTAAACAAAACTTCATATCATCTTTTGTACATTTACTATTTAACACGTATTGTAAATTGCCCACTTTTTTAAAGAAACCATCAATTATCTTTTTCCACTTTGAGTTTTCGTGGGAGAATAGTGCAATATCCACTTTAATATAAAACTTTGTAACAGAATATTCAAATCAACCATTTTTAAACCTCCATACTCATTACTCATACAAACCACTTTTCTTTTTATGTTGTGCTTTTTTCCATTCCACAAAAATGTATAAAGTAAAGAATCAATGAGTTTCATTACATTTTCCGGCATGGAAATCATTTGAGCATTGTACATAATTTGAGAAACACGAAATGATTTGATTATAGTTATTTTACCAGAAAAAGTTATATTTTGGGTTTCCAATTAAGATTTATTAGGTTTTGTTCATTTTTCCCAAAATGAACCCCAAATATTTTAACATCAGAGTAGGTCCATGGAATGCCATAAATGTTTTCACCAATGGTGTCTCAATTTATGTTAACTACGGAACTCTTTGATTTATTCAGCTCTAAACCAGAAAATAAACCGAAATGTTCTATCTGCTTTATAGCTTTCTTTAAAGATTTTGTGTCTTTAAAGGTAAAGACCAGTTATGGTCATGCGATTGCATTGTGAAAGAAACGTTGTGGAATCGATCAGAAAAGGTTGATCATCTAGCATCTAGCATCTGCAAGGTTCTGTAATCATCAAAATGATAAGAAATTTGGCCCATTCTTCGTAAAGTTACAAGCACTATACACAGAAAGATGTATATGGGACTACCCTATATCTCTCACAGACCATGAGAGAAACAAATTTATCAAATATATGAATTAGTAGGCGGTTTCCCGGCAAATTTTTTATCATGTATGAGTCAAAACATATTCTTTCACATGATTGGTAATGAGAGCTTCCATTTCATTTTTTGAAATTGGGGCGTTTCCAATACTGGTCTTTACCTTTAACAAAAAATGTTGCGTCATCTGCAAATTGCAGTATCTTTATTTCGACTGAATCAAAAAGGATAATTCCTGTTCTGTCTGGATCGTTTCTTAAAAAAAATATTTACAAAATCCTTTCACAACTTGCCATTGAAAAAAATGGGGGGGGGGGGGTGGGAGGTTACCATATAGCATTTAAACTGGAAAACAACCGTAAACGGTTGTGAAACCTACGTGAAAACGAAATTCCAGCCTATTTCTGGAATTTGATATCTCTGCCGTGTGGACTCTCGAAGTCGAGATCAGGTCCGATAGCCACAATGCGAGTAGGGTTAATACTTTCATGGCTCATTTGATAGTGTTTCTGGATGTGTTCTTGATCTACAGTCTCACTTACTCCTGGAGTCTGGAAGATATCACGTGTAAAGCCCCAGAGATTCGGGTAGTCAACGATCCGCTTCTTGTTGCACTTGAAATGATGGGCGTAGACAGTGTCGAACCTTATGAGGGTAGTGAAGAGTCGGATGTCGGCTTCTGTCAGTCTATCTCCACACAGGTACCGGGATTTGGATAGCACCTCCTCGGCTCTATCAAGAGCGGCAAAGACCTTTACAGCAGCATCGTCGTAAGCTTCCTGGGTTGTTGCAAAGCCGCATTTATACACACCATTGTTGATGTTGTCATAGATCCAGGAGTTGACTTCGTCGATTTCTTTCAGCAGATCCGCAGGGCAGAGATCTAACTCTTGTTGGTCCTTGGTGGCTGTGAAGGCGTTGAATTCCTTGTTGAGCATGCGTATGATTTCCGAAGATTCATTGTTGATGACAGTCTTATTTTTCTTGTCCCACAAGACGGGCACAGACACACGTCCTGCGTACTCCGGGTTTGCTTTTTGATAAATTTCCCTCAAAGTTTTACAGTTATTAACCGTGTCGAGCGACGTCTTTGGTTTATCGTCAGAGAAAAACCATCCTTTATCCCCGAGAAACCAGTCCACGACGGTGACTCCAATGACCTCCTCCAGCCCCTTCAGTTTCCGAAAGATAAGGGTGCGATGAGCCCACGGGCAGGCCAGGGAGACGTAGAGATGGTAGCGGCCTTTCTCCGCCTGGAACTCCCCGTCAGCGGTGATCCAGTTTCGGAACACCGAGGCATGACGTTTAAATTCACCTTTCTTCGTTATACTGTCTTTCCATGAAGGATCCACTGTCTGTTTCTTCTCAGAAGCCATGATGCTGATCTTAGCTGGCTGTTATGCTATTAAAACTCTGTCTTTCTTGTGCTGCTCTCTGCACGCAAAGTTGTTATTAAATAAGCTCGTTACGTGTTGATGTTATATAAGATTTGGCTGTGTTTACGCCGCACGCGTTCATACAATTGGCACAAAGGATGGACCCTGCCTATACCATGTGTACACGAAGTACATGCAAGTGCATTCAACTATACAATGATTCAGCAATTTTGGCTCTTAGGCTGGGCCATATAGTCCAGGGGGTATTGCATCAACTAGAATTGATTTCGAATTTAAGATCGATTTTAAGGAAGATAAACCATCTGTCGAGACGAGCTATCCCTGTGTATATTTTTATCCTCTCCTTTTCAAATTTCAAGCTATCCCTTTTGTAAATATTTCCCCCATATTTAATCATGTGTAGTTTTGATAACTTTGAAACATTTTAAAAAGTGAAACATTGATGGATTACAAGCCCAGCTTTTCTAAGGTCTCCACTTTCTTTCATTTGGATTATATATCGACTTAAAATTGCACTTCAATTTTTTTTTGTTTTCTTATGCTGTTTTTTGTTCTATTATTATATGTAAAAATGTTGTGAAAGAAATAAATAAAATAAACCTTGAACCTTGAAGAGCTGTCCTGGATCTCAGCAAATGATTTTCGTAAGACATTATAAAGAGGACCATTTTAAGATGGTCTTCAGTTTCCATATGCAAAAGGTCACCGGGATAACCCTCCCCCCCCCCCCCCCCCCCCCCGCCTCTTGCCGGTCTGGTGTTGGACTCGTTGATGTAACCTGGTGAGTGAGATGAGAGGGGATTGATAGAGCATAACGACCGAGCAGGGGTGTGGGAGGTTTTTGTGTTCTTTTTCATTTCCCTCCTCTCCTCTCTTCCGTCTCTCTATCTCTCTCTCTTTCTTATTTCTTGCTTTTCGTAAATTTTCGCAACTGGCCAACTGCAATTTAAACGTTAAAACTGATATAAACACGGGACTGATAAAATAAAAATGAAGGTCTCTCCTCAACTTTAAATTTGTATGTATCCCTTATTTGTATAATATAGTAAATAAACATAAACAAATCAATTTTTATACTTCCATTTCTCAATTCAGAATTAATCACTAAATCTAGTGAATAAAAAAATCATGAGGATTTTGTAAAAGTCATGAAAATTTAGCAACTTTGTTCAATGTTATCTTCCCGGGATTCCAACAATCGTAAAAAGAAAAGCCTTAACAATAATGTAAAAAGTCTAGATTTAACGTCATTTTTTTAAATTGAAATCTATCTTTAACCGATGTTGAACAAAAAATGCACACAAGAACACATAACAAGAGTATAACAACATAATAAAAGTAATACAAATTATAAACAACTTGGCATGGCAAAAATGATTCTACGATATACGTGGTATTGTGTTTCTCCTTTGTTTGTATTACTTATAAGAATAAATTTAGTGAAATATGTAATCTTTATTTACCCGCAGTTTTTACACAAATGAACGTACACATACATGCATGATTCAGCAATAATATATTTTTAAAATTATTTTTGCATGAGCTGATAGTAACTGATGTACTTACTTTACCGTATTGACTATTGAGTAATTAGAAAATGCAAAGTCATCGATATTTGCTTTAGCGTGTGAATTGACAAGAAAAAATAAAACACCGCAGCAAACTGCTATAATTTCAAGCAAACAAACTTGATGATGCATACTGTAAAACAAGGACGATTTAACAACATTAACTTTTCATTGCCACTCATGCCAACCGTATTAAACAATATAAATATATATAATTAATCTGCAGATTTTGTTCAATGATTATATAGCCTTATGTTTAAATGTTATAATAGTGGTATTCGATATCATTAATACGTTTAAGATTTTCATATTCATTTAAAGACCGTCGATACTACTGGATTATGCCACACAGCGAGGTCACTGACATGTGGCTATCTCATTAACTCAGCTCTCAATTAACATAAGAAAAAGAGGATCATGGGGGACCAACAGCCACCGATTGGGGAAGTTTTCTATAAAGAGGGAGCAAGTAGCTACAAGTAGTGCAGTGAGACTTTGAGGCTTGATGAAACCACCCCCCCCCCCCCAAGGCCGCAGCCAGAGTAAGTTGATGTTGTTTTGTTTTGTTGGAGGGGGGGGGGGAGGGGCCACATACATTATTGATTGACGTCCTTGGGAGGGTTCTACAAAACTTCAACCGATCTTGGATTTTTTTTTTTTTTTTTTTGTGGGGGGGGGGGGGGGGGGGGTGGTGGGGCGTATATGATTTAGTTAATAACGCCATCTTCGGCAGCTTGGATAATGAGTGTAGGGAATTATCATAGACTCCTAGTTGTAATAAAAAATACCTGCGAGGACTAGACTATACAGAAATGTGGCTGCAAACTGCTCGAAGCGAAATTAAACCGATGGCATTCCAGCCAGCTAGTCAAACTGCGCATATTCCGGCATTCTGTTAGGCTACCTAGTAGAGATACAGCTGTATAATGCGCCCTTTCGAATGACCTTGTACGATGTCACCCCCCCCCCCCCCCCCCCCCCCCCCGCTCAGTGTTATTTGGGGTACGCGTATGATGTTCCCTCCTTTTGGAAACACCCCCCTAAGGCCAAATAAAAAAAAAAACATGTTTAGCGTCCTGTTTTTTTTCGAAAAATAGGAAGGAGGAGGCCCAAAATAGCCGCTCGGTACATATTCCCTGACAGTCGGGCTATTTTTCAAGATGGCCGCCGACATTTTTTTTTTTTTTTTACACAGAAATAGATCCATTTTCGCAGTGTTTTTCATGTTTTTTTTCTTTTTTTTTTAAAAATTCAACAAAAAAAATTCAAAAAAAATTCAAAAATTCAAAAAAAAAAAAAAAAATATAGGAGGCGGCCCCCAAAAAGGAAGCGGGCGGGGACGCTAAACATTTATATATTTTTAATGGCCTAAGTCCGGTGTGTAAAGTCAATACGGGCCGATTTTTGTTGTGTATTACGAGCGGGACTTTGTTGCGTGAAAAGTACCCCTATTTAGGAGATCATGAATGCGGTACCTCCGATCCAGGGGTCAAATTACGTCTGTGGTCAGTCTAGTCAAATCCCCGAAGGCTTTACTCTTCATACAACTTGACCCCGGGTGAACTCTTGTTCGAGTGCGCGCAGCCGAACTAGTCTGCCGGAAAAGACCCTAATTTGACATTTTATCAATAATCATTGTGCCTTGAGAGAAGCCTAGCCCAGCTACCTACTGGTTGTGTCAATATGCTAGAGTACATGGACTATGGTAGTCTTACAGTGCAGACTCTCTTTTACGACTGACCAGGGTTTGTGCCTGCAAACTACAGCCGAACTGAAACTATTATGATAGCGGATAACCAGATGAGAGAAAATGTTGCCAATTGAGGTAGTGACTTTAATGCTAAATGTAAAATTAAATATAATCTGAAAGTTTGAGTGAAAAAAAACCATTATCAAGGATAAGTTAGCCATTCGATTAGTGTATGAAATTTACAGCGGAGCAATTGTCGCCGGAGCAAATGTCATGGAATCGTCAGCTGCGTCGGTATTCTTGCTCGATCCTCGTGTATTATTTCAATGCAGGATTTTGAAGTCGGTGAGATGTCTATTGTCCCTTCGAACTGTGACTTGTTATCCGCTGCGACGACTTCAACTACAATACTTGTATTTTCTCGTTGTTTAACTTTCCTATATATCAACTAAAGAAATCCGAGGTTTAAAATTTTCGGGGAAACTGAATTCAAACAAGGATTAAGAGTCAACAACGATACAACGAATCGTCTTCCTTTCTCTATATTTTGATGAAACGCCAAAAAATATCGCGCTTTGCGCGGGAGGGGAAAACTTCATTTAGACGAGTCGAGAACGGTACAACGAATCGTTTGCTTTCTCTCATAATTTATGGAAACGTCAAAGCTTCCGCGCTTCGCGCGGGAGGAGGGAAACTGAATTCAGACAAAATAATGAGGGTTAAAAGTCGCAAACGGGAGAACGAATCGTCTACTTTCTCTTATAATTTAATGAAAATCCAAAACTTCCACGCTTTGAGCGGGAGGGGAAGAACTGAATTCAGACAAGGATTAACAGTCAAGAACGGTTCAGCAAATCGTCTTCTTTTCCCAATAATTTAAGGAAACGTCTAAGCTTCCGCGCTTCGCGCGGGAGGCCTATCACCCACACCCCCCTAATGAGCGCTCGCTAAGTGATTCGCATGCTCACTTCCGCCCCTCCCTAAAATAAGATCCTAACTCCGCGCCTGCATTAAAATATATATAGCTATGATGCTGACTTAGTTGACGAAATCATTCGTATATTTATGTCGTCGAGGAAAATGACCATTTGCGCATACGCAAGTCCAATAGATAGTCCATAGGAATAACAATTTAGCCTTCGGCCTCGGGTTTATAGGGTTAAATTTGTAGATATTGGCACATTTAATTTTGTCGGTAATGGTGGCTAGTTTTGTCGGTCATCGTTGGCCTCTAACCCCCCCCCCCCCCCCCACTGAAAAAGGTCTAGCGACGCCCCTGTTTGGAGGGGGGGAGCCCTTGCCGGGAGTCTTGGGGCGGAGTCCCAGGAAGTTCACAAATCAAAAAAAAAAAAAGAATATGAAGTTCAAAATACTCGTCACGAGCGATAGAAATTGTAATTTCCCGCCTTGAAAGTCACATAGCCCCTTTCCATTTCAATTAAGAAATAACCTCTATTTCTCTCTTAAAGACAATTTAATAAAACTTTTGCTTTCGTATTGTTGTACGTTCGTCCGCAGATAAATGGCCCGGTCCCACTGTCCGATGGACACAAAACGTATGCATAAAGGACACAGCGGATGAGCAAAATTTCGAGGGTGGCTCCATCCGTTTTCATTCGCTCCAGAAATGGACAAAATTTGCGAAAATTTGCGAAAACAGAACGGAAAATAACGGACGTGGGTAGTATGTAGCGGGGATGTTAAACGGATGTTCATCGGAAGCCTAGCGGATGAAAGCGGATGGAAGTGGATGGCAGCTTTGAATACTTTATACGAGATGCATACGCTTACATCCTTTCTATTCCCGTGCTACTAACGATGTATAGACGTTCCATGTACCATCTTTCCTCCCTCTTTCCGTTTTCTGCTGCAGCGGATGTGAGTTGCGA